TCCAGAAAAGACCTGCCCGGCGACCAGCCGGGTGCCGGTAGCACCATCGGCCACCAAACGAGGGTGGCCCAAAGAACCTTAAAGACTAAATAAGTTAACAATAGTACCACCTCCTTTGCAGACCTTGGCAAGAAGTCAGCTGTAATGCTCATGAATACATGAAGACTGGAGGAATTGAGAGCATGGGCCGGTATAAAGACAAGCTCCCCTGGGTCTGTGAGAAGCTGGCTGTCCAGTCCAGCATCCTCCAAGACCCATTCTTGCTCTAGCATTAGGCAACGTAGAAGATGCACTCCAGGGCCTGATGCTGGGACTCAGCTGTGAGTACAGAAGTGATTCCCCCACGCTGAAGACTCCTTGCAGCATCCCAGGGTCGGAGGTTGCGGGAGTGTGGTGGGTATCCAGAGGCTGTAGGGTAGCAGGGGGCAGGGACACCAGGGGACTGTGCTCTTCCTACCAACAGCCCCAGTTAACCCTGCCCCTTGCCTTCCAGCTCCTGCTGCTCCAGGGTCTGGCTCCCAGCTGCTCCAGTCCTGCCTGATCCTGTGCCTTCCTCTGCCAGCACCCACAGCTCAGCATCCATCACCTGCTCCAGGGAGCCTGTCCCAGGACTTCAGGGAAAAGCCCTTTTCTGCCAGCAAGGAGGGAGGGAGCTCCCACACCCCTCCAACCTAAGCATGAACAACTGCCACCCCCGTCCCCTGAGCCCTGCACTCCAGCCCCTGGTCACCTCTGGCCCCATGCTCTCAGCCCTCTCCATGTTCTCCGTGTCCTGATGAATATGTGTAGCCCAGAGCTGGACCCACTGCTCTGCATGGGGACTCCCCAGTGTCAAGCAAAGAGGCACCATCGCCTCTCGCATCTGGCACCTGATGCTCCTGTTGATGCGGCCAAACCTGCACTCACCTTTTGTGCCGTGCATCACACTGCAGATGCGTCCTAATTCTGACACCCCAGTCCATGTCCGTAGTGCTGCCTGTGGCGGGCCAGTAGGGGGCGCTCCTGCGTTGAGCCGCCCACCTCCCTGCGCCCGCCCACCTTCCAGGCTCCGAGTGCCTCCCTTGGGGTGCCTCCCGTCCGGCCGACCCCTTCCCTGGAGCACACCCGCTAGCCTGGGGGTCCCGCTGCCACCATCCAAGGCTCTGGACTCACTTCTGGCTCTGTGCACCTTGGAAAACACAGGCCTGATCGTCCAATGGGTACTAGACCCAATACAAGCACTTGGGGCACTT